TTCTCGGGGAGCAGAACGAACGGGAGTGTGCCTGCTTCTCCTCTGGCCTTCGAGCTGTGTCCCCGCGGGCTCTGGTTGGCGTGAAGGAGCAGCCCGACCCTTCCCTGCGCGCCGTGCGGGCCGCAATGAAACAAAAGGGTGGTCTACAATAAAGCTCAGTGTCGTCTTAAACAGCTTTAAAAATAAGCTTTTGGGAGCGTCGGTGCGTGCCTAGCACGGGAAGCCTGTGTTTGAGAGTAGAAAATACTGAGCAAGAAAGTTGCAGTAGCCCATTTCTCCCAAGCATCACTAGAGGTAATTAGAGCCTGTGTTTCAGGGGTGTTTAATCCTTCACATCAGAAAGAGTATGAGTAACTTCATGTGGCAGTAAATGAAGACCTTTGTCTCGGTAATGGAGTAAGTAAGTGCAGGCTCAGCTAAGCTCTGCGGGACTGCACACAGTTGCTGTGCTCTGCTGGGAAACTAGTGCTGAGGAACTGAGGAGAGATGAACAAAATAGTCGGAGAAAGGAACCACGAATGTCTTTACCATTTAATATAGCTCAGCTCTCTGTTTATAATTTCTGATGTTTTGTGGCAATAGAAGCAAGTCAAAGAACCCAATGCACAAATACAAGAAGCAAATTTTCATTTCAGCCCTAAGTAGTATGTCATCCTTGACAGTCTAAACTCCTGCAAAAGTGTTAAACCCTTGCTTGTTATTTTGTAATTATACTCATCTAAATATATCTCTTGTGGTTTTAACTACTGATGTTTACCACTGTTTCAGCTTTTATTTTTTATTAAAGAAGCATTTTATTTTTACATGTTTTTATCAGAGTTTTGGGAGGATTAGCCTTCCTGTACGATAAAAATACTGAAAGTTAGAAGGAATTAGAAAATAGTATTTTCAAGGTTAGAGCTATGTAGATATCTGTGATAATGCAGCGTATGTGTGCAAATCCATGTTGTACTTGCTTTTATTTTGAGTGTGTGAATTTTCAGTTCATGCATTTGTAATTTTGGGACTTTTGGGAGCACATACAGAATGGACAAAGCCCAAAGAAAAGTTTACTTGTTCAAAAGGTTACCTTTCTGTTCAAATTGAGCTGAGTTGCATTTTGGAGGTTGTGTGGCAGGGGAGAAGGCAGTGATGATTTTTAGCATCTGTTGCAAACAGAAACTTTATCCTTTTACCTGTGTATGTATTATTTTTAATTGAAGTGTTAAGGACAAACCAGTCTTGCTTTACCTTCTTTCACAGCCCAGTGAAGTACAGTGTATGTTAGGTCTTTGTATTTATTGTGGACCTAACTGTGTGCTACACTTGGGATATGAACCATGTTTAATAACACAGATGTTCCCTTTCTTTTAAAAGGGTTATGTAAATGGGGTGCTTGTGTCCTAACAGATGCTTTCACTTGTATTTTTTAGTCCTCTGCAAACTGAACAGCAGGGCACAAAGCGCCCAGAACCATCTTCTGCTAAAAGTTTGGTTGATATAGGCACTCGGAGGATCTTCTCATCAGACCATGATATCTTCAGGGAGAGTGCCAGAAAGTTCTTTCAGGAAGAAGTGCTGCCTTTTCACGCAGAGTAAGATACTTCTTAAACATTCTGGCTTGTGAAGTAATATGTATTTTTCCCACAGAGTGCTTTTTGGGGTGTTAGTCTTAATATGACAGGATAAACAGGCTATCTGTTTTCATTTACAAGCTTTCTATTTCAAATTTACTCAAATAAAACAAACCTGCATATGAAAATCATATATACCCCCCCCCCGACATTGCACATAATAAAAATTCGCCGTGTTCTTTGAATTCCAGCGTAGGCAATCTGGCATCTTCATCTTAGGCCTATGAACAGACAAATGAAGTTTGCAGAGATGCGGCGACAGTGTCCCTGCTTGTAGGTATTTATTCTGACACCAGTGTCTTGGGGCTAGAGTTAAGAGAGGCATTTCAATTCCGATGCTATTGTACTGCTGTCATCCAAAAAAGCATTGACGGTGTAGTAGAGGTGTTATACTAGTATTGAACTAGAACTGGAGAGTGGTTTTTGCCCTTATTTTAGCTATATCCAATCATGTTCCAGTTGGGAAAAGAAAATAAATGAACTCAGAATGTGTTTTTGAACAGAAAGCGTTAAACTGTAGTAGTGTCTTAAGCAGTCTTTACTTGAAAAACATTCCTTTGAAAACACCAGGGGATGGTGAAGGGCTTATTCTTTAAATACACTGCTAGATGAGTTTCCTGATGCAACTCGAAATGTGTATCCACAAACAGTTGAGAAGGCACAGTTGAGTGGGTGGGGTGTTGTGTCTCTGGGGCAGAAATGAACAGCAGGAGGTACTGGAAACAGCTTACATCAGGGTTGTTGCCAACTGTTTTTTTTATCCTGAAACCATGACCTCAAAGTAGCTTGCTCTTCCACTGTATACTCATATTCTGTCCACAAAAACAGATGTTTTCCTTCATCTTTTGTTAGAATGACTTCTAGTGTAGGTTTGTGAACAGATACTGGCTCTGCTTGAGGTTACCAAAGATCCTGCTTGCTAGCTTGCCGACACAACGATTTCCTAGAGACACTGGAACAAGTTGGACTTGTGTTCTTGCATCACTTCAGCGACCTATGAACCATTCTGTTCTCACACCTTTCAAGTAAACAAGGAGGCTTCAGGCATAGTATGTTAATCAGCTGGGCTGATGCGAAGAGACAAATGTGGCATCAGCGAATCCAGTTGTGGATTATTGTGAGGAGGAGAAGCCTTGGTGATGGGCGAAGAGGACAGGAATGGCCCTGAAGTGGGGGGGAGATAGTAATAAGAGAGCTTTGTTTAAGACTTCCAACGTAGGAGCAAAAGTTCTGGGAGGTTAAATATGTAGAATAAAATACTTGATTAACTGTGGATATGTGCTGTGGTATAGCTCTGCTGCATATAGGTGTGTCAAAGAAGTGTCTCTGATACAATCTGTCTAACATAATTTTGAATTTGTGTTTTTTTAAAAAAAAAGACAAAAAAAAAAAGCTGGGCCACTAATGGCCATCCAACTTTCTGTTGAGTTGGCAAACTCCATAAAGAGGCACTATTTTTTTCAAGAGTGATTCCTGTGGTGTTAAAGTTTGAAAACTGTCAGCAGATAAGCCTGAACTATATTTACAAACTTGAAACTGCCTTAAGGCAGTAATTTACCAAGATACAGTACTAACTTGTAATAAGTGCACAGGGGCCGTTTTTGGTTTGTTTTTGTTTTTGTTTTTTTTTTAATACAGAAGTGACTTAACGTGTTAACGCTTGGTTCTTATAATGCAGTTCTTATTGGTAGAGTTGAATTCTTTCACAGAAGATGCTGATGTGTTATACTTGTTTTGTATGTGGGGAAAATGGAATGTCAGGAAGATAAAAGACCTGCTTGTAATTATCCAGATGGTTGTGGCTAAATCTCCTAAATCCCAGTCTGGTACTCAGACCAATAGGCAGCACTGCCTCTCATAACAAGGCTTAAAGAGATGTCAGGTTATATGTTGGAAGCAGAGGTTCAAACTTGTTATACAGTTGGTGCCCCTGTAATGCCAGTGGCATCTGTGGACTTGAAGAATAGAAAACTTACTACTAAGCCACAGCTTCTTAGCTGCAAAATATATGTCTGTGTACCCTACATGTGTGGTATTGAGACTGAAAGTTTCTTTCCATGCAGTGAAACCTGGCTGCGGGTGTTCTTGTGTGCGGCAGCAGCCATGACAAATAAACAGTAGCACATGGGGGATTTAATGCATGACTGTTCTTGTGTTCCTCTTGCAGATGGGAGAAGGACGGCCAGGTGAGCAGAGAGCTCTGGGAAAAGGCTGGACAGCAGGGTTTGCTGGGTGTTGCTATTGCTGAAAAACATGGAGGCATCGGAGCAGATATTCTCTCTTCAGCTGTGGTCTGGGAGGAGCAGTAAGTACTAGATGCTTCAGGAAGAATTTCAGTGGTTTGCATCAAGAGACTATTTTTTTTCTGTAAGATGTCTTCATGGAATATGTTTGCTTACAGAAAATGGTGTTACCTTGCTTGTGGAAAAGATAGTTTAGATGTCTGTAAATCCCTCCTGTTTTAAGTATCCTGGATGATTGTTTAAGTAACAAATGTCATGGTGCTCCACTGTTAGGACTTTATGGCTGGGGAAAGCATTTTTGTTAGTCTGGTAGGTTATATACCCATTTGGCTGTGAAAGTACATTATATAAAACAGTACAAGTGCCACAAGCTCAAATTGTCTGAGACATCTGTGTGGTGGGGCTTTCTTTGTTGTTGGGTCTGTGTTGTAACAGTGTAAAGTTCAATGTTTAAATCTTAGTAGTACTTTTTTCTGAACTTTGTTTTTCCCCACTCCCCAAGAATGTATGTTAACTGTACGGGCCCAGGATTCAGCCTTCATTCAGATATAGTCATGCCCTACATTGCAAACTATGGCTCTGAAGAACAGATTAAACGCTTTATCCCTGAAATGGTTGCAGGCAAGTGTATTGGAGCTATTGCCATGACAGAACCTGGGGCTGGCAGGTAAGCTAAATAGTAAAACAATGGTCTTAAAGTTATGTTCTGTCTGTTGATTTGTCAGTGAAAAAGATTCTAAGCCTCCTGGTTATATGGTCATTTTAGTGACGGGACAATATCCTAGGTTAGGTAGGACCTGAAAAAAACCTGTTCTGTATGGATTAATTTATTATAGCTCTGTAATTTCAGGATATTTGCTCAGAATCCATTTCCGTATTGTCCCACTGTGGGCAAATATGCTTTGTACTTGCTTTTATAGCCTGAGTTTATAGTTACTAACTTGCCTGTCATGTAAGTGTACTCTTAATATGAAACATAGCAGGAGAAAATTACATGCCTCGGTAAAGAGGGCTTGACTTTACTATTAGCTTTTGTTGTGGAACAGAACATCTTATTTTCTGTCCTCTGAATCCTTTCAAAAAGAGAAATGTCCCTCCTTGCCCATCATTATTGAAGGGCAGACAGCACATGTTTGGAGGAGATGCAGCTGGTCTGGCCAGTTTCCAAAACAGAGAGAGAGAGTGAAGAGCAAAACCTGTTGGTGTCATGCTTCTACAAATGGTAGATGTTGCCAGTGGCTTTTTACAGAGCCCCCTGATCAGGGTTGAGCCCGCTTGGAGGATGTGGTTTTGTCTGGTGTTTGTCATCAAAGGCATATTGGTGTAAGGGGATACTGACCTGTTGATGTCAGTGCTTGTATTACACCACCTTCCACAAGTAGATAAAGTTAAAATGGGACCTCATGCTCTTGTACAATTGCATAGATTTATCATCCCTTTCTGTGGTTTCTGTGCATGCTTGTGGTTTGTGTTGCACCCTAAGCTAATTTCACCATGTTTCACTATCTTCATATGTGTTTTCACTGAGCCTGTGCCTGGACGGTATAAAAACTACCTTATTTTATACTGGGTAAAATTCAAGATACAAATTGTAGCTTCTGGAATGTTTTCTTGAAGGACCTTATGAATTTCATTTTAGTGACTTGCAGGGAGTACGAACATACGCAAAAAAAGATGGAAGTGACTGGATTCTTAATGGGAGCAAGGTAAGTGAACAGATGTACATACCGCTTTGGGAACTGAATGCATTTAGACAGTGAAGGATGTACACCACTGTTGGTATCTCCCCCCAGGCTTTTTACTTCTGTTTTTTGTGGGTTATGTTGTAGTTGTTTTTTTTTCCCTAGTTACATTTTTTGTAGGACTTAAGATATTTCTGTTGCTGACAATTTACGGATCAATTTATGGAAGGGCTTGAGTAGGTTCTTTTTGTAGCTTTTAAATAACCCTATGAAAGGCCTATTTTCCCTTAAACTGGGAAGAAAAGGGGGGGGGGGGGGGGGGGGGTGGGAAAACCCAACTCCTGCATAATATAAGCAGGACCAGAGCTGTTTTTTAGTACTGAGGTTGAACAATGACATACATACGCTACCACTGTGAAAACTTGTGTTGCCACAGTGCAAGCTGTGGAATTTTTATTCAGGAGCCTGCTGGTCATGTTAGGAGAAAAAAAAACCCAACTGCATCAGATGTTCTTCTCTGTGTGTTCTCAAGCTGTTGCAAAGTTGGCAGCATTAACCTCTTCTTTCATTGCCATAATGAAAAAGAAGGAAGGCAGAACTAGTGTTCAAGTAGAAGTGTGGGTTCCACAGCTTTTTTTTTTTTTAATAAAGCTATGAAATGTCTTAATCTTCTTTCTCCACCCCCCACCCCTCTTCTTCTGTACCCCTGCTGATAACATGGCAATGATAGAGACTTCTGGTCTGAGCAGAATTCCAAGTGGCAAGAATGTGTGCAAGCAAATATGTATGTGTAGGTGTTCAAAAAGATACTTGCTCGTGCTGCACGGTTCAAGTCAAGCAGGACAGATAGCTCATTTCTTTTGTTGGAGTTAAGATGGATCACTTTGGCAGGTTTGAGTAATTCTACAGGATTATAGTAAGCAATTGCGACAAGAAGCCATTGATAGTTTTGCGTGTTATACCTTGGTGATTTAATTCTAGAAAAGAGAACCTCTGTGTTCATTGAATATCTACATTTGATACCATATTCCTTCTTTATCAGACAAAAGAGAGCTGTGCGTTCTCTAACTTCACACTTCTGACCCACACAATACTTCTCAAACTCATTCCTACTTTAATAGACCTTGTTCCAAAACACTTAATTCAGAAAGCTTAAAGTTTTTCTGGATACTTAAACCTTGCCTTTCAGTTCAGCTGTGAAAGTGCCAGTGTAACTTTTTTCTGCTGCTTGATGATCTCTTCTTAACTTCTATCTACCTAGGTCCTTGCTTTATTCCAAGTTGCATTTTTTTACAGGTATTCATCACTAACGGTTGGATGAGCGATGTAGTGATCGTGGTTGCAGTTACAAACCGGGAGGCCCGATCTCCTGCTCATGGGATCAGCCTTTTTCTGGTGGAAAATGGAACAAAAGGTTTCATCAAAGGACGCAAGCTGAACAAAATTGGCCTGAAAGCTCAAGTGAGTTCATACAACCCCTAACATGTAAAAGACTTGGAGGAAATCTAAAACCACTTAATGCTTGGCATTAGCTAAATAAATACAAAATGGGACTGTGGTGCTATTCTAGCTCTTAGGCTTTAGAGCACAAACGATATACATGCAAAGTGTGTATGCTGGGTTTGCCTATGGAAGCCTGAAGTATGTGATATGCAGGGAGAGGGTGAGGAAGCTGCATTTCTTCACTCTGAAGAAGCCTGGAAGGACAGGATCTTATTGGTGTTTTTAGCTACCTAATGGTTGGCTGTAGAGATAGTGGAGCCAGATTCTTCTTAGAGGAGCACAGTGAAAGGGAGAGTGGCAAGGGACACAAGTTACTTTAGGGAAAATTCTAAGTAGGTATTAAGAAAAAAAATCATAAAAGTGATCAGATACTGGGACAGGTTGTGGAGCCTTTTTCTTTGGAGTGGAAAGCATAACTGGACAAGGGCCTCAGCTACTTGCTTTGCTGGAGCTGTTTTGAGTAGGAGATAAACTAGATGACTTCTGGAGGACCCTTCTCAACCTAAATGAATCTATGATTTCAAGTTAAAGTGCACGGTAGCAGGAAAAAAATGGGGCAAAATAAGTGGAATGAAGAGATGAAAATACCAGGCTATAAACTGTCGCATTTAAAATCCTCTTAGGACACAGCAGAGCTGTTTTTTGAAGATGTGCGGTTGCCAGCCAGTGCCTTGCTTGGAAAAGAGAACAAAGGCTTCTATTATCTGATGGCAGAGCTCCCTCAGGTAAGAGGAACGTGACTGTTTGCTGTCCGTACGGAGAATACGGAGACAATTTTTGTCACTGCAAGAATCTGCCTTAGTCTTGAAGATTATGTATCATGGGGAGCCAGTTTGGGATGTCTGTAGGCAACATTGTGTTGATATTGCTGCTATTTAATTGAAGTACACAGTTGCTAGTGCTAAAAGTGCAATTCTTTGGACATTGGTAAAAATGTCAGCATCCCACCAGCTCAAAGCTAGATCTCTTAACCCAGCTGTTGAAGAACCTCCTCGAGTAGTGTATTTAAAAGAACATACCACAGTTTTTTCTTGTCTACTTCTAGCATGGAACCACTTTGCTTAGTAAATTAAATATGGCTTGGAGGTCTCTGATGCATTTGGCATTCTCTTTAAAGAAACAAGCAAGCACTGTTGTTCTAGCTCTTCTACCAGTAGAAGCATGTTAAAGATATAAGGAACTCTGTCCATATAGTAAAGTAAATAAATTGTTTAGTTGCTAAAATGCTTTTCTAGTGGAAATAACGATTTATGACTTGGTTTACAAAGTTTTGGAATTACTTGGGAAGACACGGTGTGGTTTTTCAAAATGTGACTGTGTTTTGTCAAGACTATGACTTTGTATTTGCCTCATCTGGTAGGGATCATGTTTATTTAATTTTATGCTGTGAGTATGAAACCTGATCAAAGGAAATCTTTACTGCCTTAAAGAAATAGATGCAGTCATGAACAGGTTTAGCGTGATGCATCAGATGTTTTCAATGGTGCTAGAAGTAACTGTTCTGTACTTAGTTTCTGTGTTTCAACATGTTATGAGGAAGGAAAAAACCAGCCAGTTGTTTTTTTCTAGGTTTTGTTTTTTCCAGAGGTGTCCTGTTGAAATTGTTAAATAGAGTTGTTGTTTAAACTGAACAGTGAAAACAGTAATTGAAACAGAATTTGATGTGACTTTTTTTTTTTCAGTCAGTAAGAGTCCTGTGGTTGACTTGTAGCTATTTTTTTGAGGCATTGTTGTGATAGAACATTACCCGAAAAAGACTTAAGTGAGCTTCAGGCAGCAAGGCATTTGTCCCACTCATTAATTTCAGTAATGCCATGTGTCTGATTTGTACTTAGTGTGACTTATGCCCCCTCCCTTAATGAACAACACTGAACATCTGTGTCCCAATTGTGCATCTGATAGGGAGAAATGTAGGACTAATTCAACTGGATTCCGTAATTTGTGTTTCAAAAGGAGAGACTGCTAATTGCTGATATGGCTCTTGCTGGTTGTGAATTCATGTTTGAAGAAACAAGGAATTACGTGAAGCAAAGAAAAGCTTTTGGGAAGACAATTGCACACTTACAGGTGAGTTTGAGCTGAGAGACTTGTCTACAGATTCCAGTGTGCATTTGCTTTAAAGCTGTGTATGTGAAATAGTGAGCAAATGAAAATCACTGGGCAGCTTCCAAAAGACTGTTTGCACAGCTTTCACTGTTGGACTGTGGCTGTTGTTTGCATCCATGCCCATCATTCATTTTTGAAAAACAAAAATAATTAAAAAAAAACCCAACACCACATAAACTGTAATGTTAGGTATTTTACGATTCAGTTAGATAACTCCCAGCAGTGCTGCTTCTGGAAGTGAAATATGCAGGCAGAAACCATCCTGGCTTTTTGCTGCTGCTGAAGAAAAATTACCTTGTTGCTTTTAAGCTTGCATGTTATTGTCGCAAGTCCTAGTCCCATGTTCTGCTACTCCTGCATGTATTTCTGTTTCTGCCTGGAATCCTATGGACCGCAGAAGAGCTTGGTGCACGTGCAGGTGCTGCGTTCCTCTGCACATGATGCATTGCAGAAAAATGAACTTTGAGGCTAGTGCTGGTTGGGGGGTCCCAGGCTACCTTGCTGTCTGAATGCCTGCAGAGGTCTTTGTATTGAGCTTTATGGATGTTCTAATGAGATTGCTCAGCTAGCAGCTAGCTGGGTATTTAAGTGACTGCGTATGGAACTGTTGGGTCATTCTCTGTGAGCATACCTCACTCCTGACAGTGGTAGTTAATTGTGTTTTGAGACGTTTATGCCTATGCTCTTTAGTTGCAGTCATAAAACAGATGTTGCTTTCTGCAGTATTGCGATGTTACAGTTTTCCTGAAAACCACATTAGCTGTTAGGGCTGAAGCAGACCAAGCTCCTGCGTGCTTGGTTTATAGGATAGAAGTGACTCATATGGGTTAGAGGATGTTGGCTGCCTCTTTTTTTTAATATAATTTTGAAATAATTAAAAAAAAAAAAAACCCCAAAACATTTCTAAGTCCTGAGACTTACTTTGTCAAAATTAAATCTTTAGTTGTGAATAGCAGCAGAATTAGGCTCTTTAGAGGCTGGAATACTAGGTATCTTTCAGGAAATTATGATCTTAATCTGTTTTTAAAGTTAACATTCAGGAAATCCATAATTCCAGATGGAATTTTGTATGTGCAGTGTGCAGCTTTAACACAAAAGATATATATTTGCCTTTTTTAATGTAAGTAAGGGATGTTTCCTAATTTTAGTAGTTTAATGTGCAGAGACCTCAAAAATAATCTCCTTTTTTATGGTAGCCCACTGCCAACTGCCAGGTGGCCAATACACTTCATAAAGTATATTATTTTTGCCAAAATAATCCATTCTTGCATACCTTTTCAGGTTCCTTTTTGTGGCTGATGGCTAGAATATGCCTATAATCAAAAATCCTTTCTAATTGGAGCTCTGCCTTGCCTAATTCATTTAGTCATGCCACAGTAGAGTGTTTGAAATCAAATCTTTTCTTTGTAATAGTAGACTGGTCCATTATATTGTCAAGGGAAGCAAGAAGATTTTTTTCATACAATTTTAGAAATGTGAGATTAGAAAAAACTTTTGCTACTGGGTGGTGTTTTTATCCGCTCTCTACCAGAATTACAAGACGGTTGAATGCTTGCCTGGTCTGGTTTTACGTAACCTTAGAGATGGATTTGGTTTTTTTTTACCTTTTCTACCTAGAAACTCTCTTCCAATGTGTCAGAACTCAGTGTTGAAAAACTTTCTGCTAGTCTAATATTTCCTTTGTTTTTCCTTGTGTCTTTTTGCATATGACTTAAAATCTGAAGAACTGAATGCATAGAAAAAGCATTCAATAGATGATGAAATGTTACTAACTGGGGAAATTAGTGGCTCTACAGAGTGAAAGGACATTCTCCCACAAGAGGGAGCTGAGAGTGACAGAGCACTCAGTGCATCCTACTCTGTGCTCTCTAGGAATTTGGTTTCAGACTCTTGGAGTTTTTCTTTTAAGGTCATGTTTTGAGTTGGTCTTGAGAAGTAAAGGGCAGTAATTTTCTCCAGTAAGATTAGTAAAGATGTAATTGTATGGAAAGTAAGCTGTCTTCTGGTGTACAGAGCTGAAGTTGTTTGAAATGGTGATTTCTAACAGAAATACTTTTAGAAAATGCTCTGCTTTCTACTTCAAATATCACTTAAATTCTGCTTCTGCTCTTTCCTCTGCCTCCACTATCCACTTCCAAAATAAGACAGTACAGCACAAGTTGGCTGAAATGAAAACGCAGATTTGCGTGGGCCGAGCTTTTATGGACAACTGTTTGCAGCTGCATGCAGATAAACGTCTGGACTCCTCCACAGCTTCTATGGCAAAGTATTGGTATGTGGTTAAAGTAATTTGGAAGTGTTACTTGTGTGATCTTGACAGGACTCTAACGATAAAAACACTAAACTGTTCAGATCTAATGAAGAGATAAAATTACTGTCTGAATAACAACGTTGTCAGATTCTAATAGAGACCACTAGCTTTAATCATGTAATCAACAAAAATCTTAGTTATATGGAAAACCAGTGTTGGTTAAACAGATCAATTTCAAAATAATGGCATGGTTTTAAAATAGGCTTCTATTAAACAAGATCAGGACTCAGCTTTAGCTTCAAGTAAAAGTGAGTACTTCATTGGTATTTAGACAAGCATTTACATTTTGCTATAGAAAATTGTTTTTGGGTGTAGGTTATTTTTTTTTTTTAATGGGGGTAGTTGAGGTTTTTTTTTTAAAGCACAGATTTATTTGAAGCTCATATGATACTTTTTAGTTAATGTTACTTAGCAATTGCTGTTTGGCCCAGCTAGTTTTTGAAGCTCTCTGGTTTTGGGAAGAAGTAGTTGGCTACAGCTATTGCTGTAACTGAGACTAAACAGTGCTTTATTTTATTGGCCAAAACTCGTCCTCCCTCTCCCCGTACTTGGTGGTGTTATCTGTTAACTCAGGTTTAACCAGAGAAAGCTGGATGAGTGGCACACTTGTGGAACTTGTATAGTTTTATCTTGCTTGCAAAGATCAGAGAAAAAAAAGTACATCAGACATGAGCAAATAATTTTATGGAAGATGCAGAGGTTTACAGATTCTAGACTTTGAAAAATAAGTATAGAGGAAATGAGCAGAGAGTACTGAGGGAATCCAGAGAGAATATTTACAATGAAAGGATTTTGATTGAGTGCTATGCCTGGCACTGATTAGTTGTCATACCTAAAAGCACCAGGTACATAAGCAGAGTCATTCAGTTTTGAGGAGGAGGAAACAACTAGTGCCAGCTCAGATATGTAGACTTACTTCTTCAACAAATTGCCCAAAGCGAGGCATTTGAAACTCCGCCACCCTCCCAACTGTTTAGCACCACAGTGTGTTGTGGATTTCCCCTTTCCCTAACGGAGTTCCTGTGACTCCCTTCATAAAACTATCTCAGATGGTCTAGAAAATGCTTGAACGTAGAATCGCTTTATTCCCTAACGTTTCAGGAGACTATCTCCAGTTAATTTTCCTTCAAACCTTTTGTATAGTCAATGACTTGAGTTAGAGCTTTGAAGTATTTTAGAACATTTCCTAATATCTGATGAGAGGTCTGTAGGTTTTATTTTGTGGTGATGGGTTGTAAACCTAAATTAATTTGAAAATATATTTAGGAAAGACAAGTCGGCAGCAGTGAATCACTGCAACTAAAGTTGGTATAAAAAACCTAAGGATTTAATTGGATGAGCAGACAGTTTGGAGAAAAGGACTCTTACATTCTTCCATGATAAGCAATTGACTTGAATTGTCATTTTCTTTACTTTTGTTGACACTCCGAAAGATGTATGCTTAGAAACTGGGGTTTTTTGGTCTTTTGACTTGAACTTCCAGTGCAGTTAAAATCTTCTTTTGCAGTTAAATCCCTATTTTGCAGTGAGTGGTCTTGTTTAAGTATTACAGTATTTTTTAGAATTGAAAACCTATAAAATCTATTGTGGAAAATAAATGCTCCCCAGGTGATGATTATACTCAGAGAGCATCCTGGTGTGTTGTCTAGTAGGAAAAGCCTGTGATGCTGTTCATTTTTGTCAAAGCTGAGGGATTTGTTAAGAAAAGAGACTATCAACCTGCTTTACAAAAGAAATCTCTTGGCCTGTGAGAAAGGTAAACAAGCCTGTCTGTTTTGAAAGCTTGCTTTCTCCAAAAGCTCTTCCATAAGGAGAACAAATCTTTAGTACATTAAATTGAATGATACTTATTTCTTACTGATCATGAAGGAAGAAAAAAGTCCCTCAAAATACGAAGTATTTTAACAGCCAGCATTTAAGATCAGTTTGAGTAAAAAGTTTGGTTATATTTTTGTCTTGCTAACTTATCTGTATCTCTAAAGTTTCAAAGCAGAACATACTTCTAAAAAATTTCTTTTTGGCCATTTAAGGTCTTCTGATCTTCAGAACAGCATAGCTACGCAGTGTGTGCAACTGCATGGAGGATGGGGGTACATGTGGGAGTATCCAATTGCAAAGTAAGTGTAACGTTTCAGACTTGAATGATGAAGGATTACCAGCAAAGTGAAATGAGGTGCTTCCTTTAGGTGTAGCTGTCAGTTGTTCTGTGTTAGTACTGATTTACTGTTCCTTTTCTCATCATGTTTATTGAAAGGCAATCTACTGTACAGATGTCTGCAGGAAGGCTTTGTTTTGATTCTCCAAATAATGCATAAGCTGTTGAGCAATTATTATCTATTTTTTCACAAAATAGAAGTTGCTTTTCTAGAATGTTAGTTGAAAACCCAGAGAAGCAATGTAAAAATAAAAATGAGGAGAGCTAGTTTGTATATTTTATCTGAAATTAAATGCATACGTATGAAGGAAAGAAAACATGTTGGTCAGCCTAAATCTTGTGTAATACCACAAAATAACAAATTGCCTAATCAAGAGCATGACTGGCTACATTCAGCTTTTTTCATACCTTTTTAAGTGAAAAGGTTAAGAGATTTATATTGTAGAAAGAGGAATTTGCCATTTCAAATTTTTTGCTTACTTGATGAATTTAGGGACATTTATGGAGTTCTCTTATGTATTCCTTATGTATTAGCTGTGAAGATGCATTTCCTTTTGTGTACATGCCGTTTGCCATGTTAAGAGGAGGTTTTGGTGCTTTTTTTTTTTTTAAAAAAAAAAGGGGGGTAATCTGATAGTAGAAATAGCAAACCCAGGAAAACCATCTGCTGTGCAGTTGTCATAAGCAGATAACTTAAACTAATTCTTTTAACTGAGTAGGTTTTGATTTTATTTTTTCCTAAATACATTAAGAGTATGAAACATTGCTTTAAAGTTACTTTTTTCTTGCAAGTTTTTAATGAGTGTAATAGGGTGCAGAACACTCACATATCCTACTGAACAGGAAGGCCAGCAAGGCCTGTTCAGGCTCTCCTCAAACCCCTGCTTACCTGTGTGTGCATACATGTTATCCATACAGGGTTTTATTATCCCTGTAGTTCAGCAACATGCATGTTTCCAGAGAATGGCACATTGCTCTCTGTATAATGAAGCAGAATTAAGCTGGAAAAGCACATGGTCATAGTCTTGTGTGCCGTCACCAGCTGTGCATGTACCTGGGCCGAGTCCAGCGTGAGGATGGAAACGGTTTGGCTGCATGCAGCTTTTCGGCTGCTGGCCCAAATGGAGCTGGAGCTGGTGTGAGTAGAAGGCTGTAGCCAGCTGATTTGACACCAGTTGTCACTTTCTTTTCCTCCCAAGGTGTTTGAGTCCCACCTCGAAGAAAGAACTGACAGCACTGTTAGTCCTCCTGACAGGATCAGACAGGCCAGGGCATTAGAGCAAATTACCATGATAGCTATCAGTTTGGCTCTGCAGGAGTTGTTTTTTCACAACGGGGAGTAACTGGGTCTTGCAGTTCACGCAGGCATGCTGTTCTGTGGGATGTGTGTGGTGGGTGAATGGGGGCTTTGGTGTCTGGTGTTGAGTTAATGCTCAGGTAATGTTGAGGAAAGGAGGGATCAAGAATTGGGGGGGGGAAGCTGGTAGGAGTCTGGTTTTATAAAGCTTTATTTTTATTTAATTAGGGGGATAGTGGAAACTCTACAACATAGACAAAAATCAGGGAAGAGGTACTGATCAAATTCTTAGTTTGGTACAGTACCTTGGAAAGGTGAAATATTTTAGGCAGTTGAAACCTCTTTGAAAATGTGAATCACTTCAAAAATGGGAATAGCACACTTGAAAAAGAAGGATCTTCAAAGATAAAACTTTCATATTTTTTTTCTTTTGATTGTATGTCCATTCTGAGTAGTTGTTTTTAACCTTTCCTTGTTTTTTTTTTTTTCCCCCCTCAGAGCTTTCGTGGATGCCCGTGTTCAGCCAATCTATGGTGGCACCAATGAAATTATGAAAGAACTTATTGCTAGAGACATTGTCAGTGACAAGTAGGGCAGATGCTTACTATTTTGCAGAGTCTTCCAGAATCCTTTTATATTAATATATGGCATAAAATCACACATCAGAATGTGAGTAACACAAATGTGGTGTATCATATTCTTTCAAGGAAGTGGCACTTTAAAAAAAAAAAAAAAAGAAAAGTGTTAGTAACAACAGTGTGCTCATGCAGCATATCTAATATTTAATGAACTTTCAATTTAAATATGTTTGGACAAGACGGAGTAATTCTCTGGGTTCCACAAGTTCTGGTAGCGAATGGTGGTTTTGTGTCTGGAACATTACAGGTATGTTGCTTCTCAGGATCAAACCTCTTGTCCAGAGAAGGTGCATTCTTAACATTTAACGTTCGTTTATTTGTTGATATAACTTTGAATTTGTATTTCCCCTTGACAAGTATCACTGTGTCAAAGTAGAACTTGAAACTTTTGCTACCGTTGCTATACACCTGCTTACTGTGCAGCAGCCACCCACTGCAGGGAGGGAACGTATGGCTGACCTCTATGTTTACATGTAACCCAGAATGCCTTATTTTAATTACTTTATTCAAATAAATAAATATAATAAAGTATTTCTATGCAATCTCATTGTTGTCTGTGTTACTTCAAAGCCTGAGGGAGAACTGGGGTGCTTCCTCTGTGCCCAGGTTCACCTCAGGGCTTTGAGGGTGAGTTTTGAGGAATGGAATGTGATGCTGGTGATTATTTTCAAATACTTCC